AAAGAATCCGAAGATAAAATAGTGTTACTAAACCCAGGACCCTGCATTCATTATATCTGGTCTCCCACAGTACAAACATGGAAATGCAATTTTTTTTAAAAAATATAAACTGCTAAATACATTTTGTCATCAGCAGTATATAGCAGTCTTGTAACTTCTAACAGTGTCCATCAGAACACTGGTTAAAGCTTGTAAGAGGAGTTTTAATTCTCCTTTGACTGTGCTATCAAGGTGCATGACCCCTGACCATCTGTCTGGACAGTGCTGATCAGCCCTGTGCCAAACACTCTAGCAAAACACACCAAACTGAGCAAGCGCAGAGTTTCTCCTTCTGCTCTGTACTGTCAGCAGACAGACTGGGGACTGTGGAATAATGGGAGGGTCATAGAAAAACAGGATCAAACAGCCTTTTTACGCAATGCAAAGGATTAACGCCTTACGTGTCACAGTGATTATAATAAACATACTTTACCGATTTTACTGTTGTACGTTTAGTAACACTAAGCTAAGAGCAATTTCCCCATAGGGGAGAACAGGTCCATCACCTTAGGACACAAGAAAAATAACTGAGGACTAACGGAGTGGGGTAGGGTTATAGGAGGGACGTCCAGGATGTGTATCCTCAAAAGCTTGCCAGTATTCAATCACCTGCATGTATCAGCCTATAACCCATGGTCTAGGAATACTCATTCTCTGTCCTGTACTTTAAGACAAAGATAAGCATCTGAAAGAATGGCGTGATCCATGGCTACACCATGCTTTAACTGACAGATTTAGAAATGTAAAGACTGGCTGCAATGAGTTATACAGATAGCCCTTTGAGATATCATACATAAGGAGTATGTTTAGAGTAGTGATTGGCTCATTCACTCACAACATACTATATGGCCGTTTATTCTGGCCCGAGTAACTAGTGTGACAACATAACCATGGAGGTCATTTGAAATCTAAAACATGCTTAAGTAGATCTTTTTTTAGCTACAGTGCCAACCGCAATTTGAAAGATACTCTGGCTAGCTTGCTATTGGATATAGCCTCCCATTTTCACAAAATATGCTTGCGTAACTCATTACTCAACCACGTCTGGAGGCTTTAAAAGTGATGTTAAAGAATTGGATGGCTCAATGATGATCTCATTAAAGACGCAAGTAGTTTGTAGTGCTGAAACAACTAATCAACGATAACGGATTAAAAAAATGAGTCGTCAACTATTTTCATTATCAATTAGTTGGCCTGCCATATAGAATGCACTATTTGTTTACATGTCAGTATACACAGTGCAGCACACAAAACGCAGTACATAGTTCATGTCAGTAAGTGCCTGAGAATGTGAATGTGTGAGGTGCAATGCCTCATGGGACAAGTAGCTCTGGGCAAGAGAAGAAAGTGATGTAAGGGCTCTGTGCAGTAATGATCAGCATCTGAACCCAGATAAGATGGAGGCTTATAGACTGGAGGTCAATTAATGCATTACAATTACATTTAAAAGGTAACAGATATATTATTGCATTATATTTAAAAAAAAAAATTATTATACCCATGCAAAAAAGTCTCAGCCTTTAGTACTCCTTTAATATATATTTCCTCCCACCTACCCTTCATGTAGCTTCATGCCTGACTCCCAGTTAAAACACCCCATATATCCTACTTCCTTGGATAGTTTATTATTTATATAAGTTATATAGTGCATTTTTACTTTCACGGTCTCACAGTATAAATTGACCCCTTAGAGTACTGATTATCTGCAGCTAAGCTGCAAACATTTGTTTTTGTACTATAAAGGGTTAATTTTTGTTTAACCCATCATGACAGGTGATACAAAAAGCATGTTGCTGCTACCAAATGTCTTAGTGACTGCAGGTGCAGGTAGCTTTTATTATGCAACTTGTCTATGACAAGGGACTCGGTCATACATAAAATTCTAATATTACAGTCCTGTCTGAAAATCTGCAACACAGTGTTCTACGCATTTCATTTTTATTCATTAACCACTTGCCTACTGGGCACTTTTACCCCCTTCCTGCCCAGGCCAATTTTCAGCACACTCGCACTTTAAATGACAATTTGCGCAGTCATGCAACATTGTACCCATAGGAAATTTTTTATCTTTTCACACAAATAGAGCTGTCTTTTGGTGGTATTTAATCACCACTGGGGTTTTTTTTTTTTTTTTTTTTGCACTATAAACAAAAAAACTAAACTTTTTTTTTGTTTCTGTTATAAAATTTTGCAAACAGGAAATTTTTCTCCTACACTGATGTGCGTTGATGAGGTGGCACAGATAGGCTGCACTAATGAGGCGTCACTGGTGGGCATTGATGAGGAGGCATTGATCATCAGGGCACAGCAGATGTGCTCTGTGACAGTTGCTGGTTATCGGCAGTACTTTCCTCACGCTGACAGCATGAGGAAAGTGCAGCCGTTAACTGGCAACTGTATTTACTCAGTGATCTGCTGTATCATTGGACACAGCTGATCACGTGGTAAAAGGCCGCTGTGATTGGCCATTTACCTCATCACATGATCAGCTGTGTCTGTGATAAAAAACACTAGATGATAAAAGCTAATAGCATTTTTCTGCCAGCTCATAGTAATATTGGTAGCGCTTAGAAGCAATTAAGAACATTCAGTGTTTTTTTTTTTCTGCCAGGAAAATGCTTCCAAAATCTCTCCAAACACAATTTTTCTTCTGCTAAATGCTGAAGCTTGAAAAGCACTTCTAGCATCAAACAGTATGCATAGACAAATAAGATAACACTATTAGCATCTAGGACCATAACAAAACACTAGTGTGCATGCAGCCAGACATTACGTTCCTTATTATAAATAAAAGACAAAATGGCATATTGAGGTTTTTATCTAATTGATAAATAAAAACAATAATCAGTCAACTAATGGATTATAAAAATAATTGTTAGTTGTAGCCCTAGTAGTTTGGTTGTCATGCTCATTCCAGTCAATGCCCTATAACATGTATGTGAACAGCATTGAAGGGGAAGTCATGGAACCAAGGTTGCCATCTCCCTTTAAACCCAAGCGCATTAATTACACAGATTCTGATGCTAATTTCATGCAGATAAGGCACTAAGCAAGTTTAATTATCACCTTAATCAGCCACAGAACCTGTGTAATTAATGTGTTCTGTTTTAAAAGGAAGAGGTGACAACCCTGCATGGAACTAGCAGCCAAAGAAATAAAATATATTTAGCAAATTATGCACACAAAAAGTCTTTAGTCAATTAACATAATGAAATGACCATGAGTGAGTATCCTGTAATAATCTGAACAGCAAAGAACCTTTGCAGCCAGTGATCGGAATGCCATGCATTGCTGTACACAGAACAAATTAAATTCAAAGTGCCACTGTGTTTCTTATAGTCTTTATGAGGCAGGAAAGTGTCATTCTAGACAACAAGTAGTAGCACAGCAGACACCAAATAAAATATTTACATAATTTGTGATGGCATTGCAACTTCTTGCTATAAGCAGTTGTGCTTTGCAAGCTTACAGTTAGACCTAAGTCAAGGTGGTGTGTACGAAGATATTCACACAGGTTCACAGATTCAGGTCTGTATATAGAAGGACAGAAGAAAATAAAGGTTCAGCTAGCATGACTGCCTGGTTCAGAAGATCACTATACCTAAAATATAAAGACTGGCTGCAACTCCAGCAAAGAAAAAACACACACAGTTCCACTGCAAAGTGAAACCAAACAATTTATTTGTGCTAAATGAAAAAAAAAAAAAAAAAAAAAATGTACTCAGAAAATAATTCTTTATACATTGTACCGGCTTACAGTATTCTGCTAATTAAGCATTCATTAGTGCCAAGCTGTGCTATTTTTCTTTAACCTGTCTTGCTTTTGTTGAATACAAAGCGTCTGGCTGCGCAGCCAGTACATAGCTAAAATTTACTCTTCATCTCACATGGGTGTTTCCGGGTTCAATTTAAATTTGCATTTTAAAATACTCTGCAAAATTAAAAAAAAAAATTGTTCCATATATATTTTACATAGCTTGTAAAGCCAATTTATACACCTAAAAAAGAAAAAAAAAAAAACTAAATACTGAGAGTCAGAAATGGATTTGCGGACAGTTTATGGTATAAGATCACCTAAAACTGATACAATTAAATCTTAAGATCCATTTACAATACATTCCACATATTTAAACAAAGTTGCCCACATTTTTCACTACCATGTTTATTTAATCAATGAAAATTTGGTTTATGTGACTTTGCATCAGTTATGGGCTGTGTGCAATAGACACTGAACTTGGGGTTGGGTTTATGGATAGCTAGCTAAAAATGTAAGTGATTTACAGGCACTGAAGAACTTCAACCTACCTCCGCATAAAGCCATAAAACACATCCTTACTAGCACATGATTTATACAATTTAACACTGTGCTTTAATAGGCTTTTTTTTTGCAATAAAACATGCTGTTATATCAGCTTACTGCTCTTCTATTACACAGTAAGACTGGCTCTGAGTGTGATTAGATTCCAAAGTTGGAAGCCAATGGGCCTATGATCACAATATGCACTTTAAAAAGTCAGATTTAAATGTAGTGATTTACGGTATGCATGGGATACTAGTAAACGAACGTTCAACCCATCATGCTTTAGAATACTTAAGCAAATTCCATGGAAACAAAAATAAAAAAACAGTATCCCTTTTATTACATAAACCTAAAAGCCTCAAGAGAAAAGCCTTTGAGCAGCATGATATAACATTTAGTAAGGTTGTCCCAGCCAGGGTAGTAACGTACATGTAGCGTCAGTAAACATGAAGGGGGAATTTTGTGGGAACATGAACGCTGTAAGACCCACAACACTGGCTGTATTCTGAGACAAACATTTACAACACAATTAGACAGTGAAGCCTATGTAAACTCAGTGCAAATAAAGTCAAATCTGAATATGACAGGTAAGCCTTTGGCTTTGAGTAAACTGTTCAATGTTTAGTCCAACTCAAAATGCAGAAACTGCAGAGGACATGCACTAGGGCTGAGAGGGAGGATGCACTGAATTGTGGGAAGTGGCAGACTGAGATGCGGTTGACTGGACTGCAGGTTGTGCTGGAGGAGGTGGCGGAGGCGGAGGCTGCACTGGAGTCTGGGTGTTTGGAGATGGAGGAGGAGTGGGGCGCTTAAACTTGTCAGGACTGTTGCTCCTTCGTGGCGAGGGTCTCTGAAGAGAAAAAGATACACAAAGTGTTTACCAGACATGCCATTTCCCAGTTTGCAATGAACGCCAAAGTAAATAGAACTCCAATATACCTCATGTCGGAAACTACAAACTATTTTACATAAGTATTAATGTCTAGATACAAAAAATTTCCCATCAATGGGTAATTTTTTTTGTTCTCAAGCTAGTATTTTGGGAGGAACAGAGAAATAAAAGGAAAAAAATGTGGTTAAGCAAAACTCCAGCTGAAAAAAAAAAAAAAAAGAAAAGGCAAATAATATGCCAATCATTAATCTGGTGCAGTCCCCTGCAGTACTTCTTCCATCATTAGATATCCTTAGTCTTTCAGGGTGGATAGCAGCCCAGCATCATTCAACCCACATCCTCTGAGCCCAAGCTGGCAAAAAGATGAGCTTTTCTCATCTCTTCCTATCAGTAAGTTCATTCTCAGCACATGCAATGAATATTGGCTCCTTGTCCTGCGTCTTCCACTTTCACACAGCTCTACTGTACAGTGGACTGCAAGAGGCTGATACCAGGTCAAATCCTGGTACACTGCATGCACTTAATGTTATGCATTAAAATGTGTGCCTTTTAGTTGTGTTCCTGGAGTTTAGCTTTATATTATTGTACTATAATAAATAAGAAGTGCAGCGCTAAAAATGTGTGTAAATAAAAGTGACAAATTAAACTTAAAAAGTTCATAAATAATGAAATGATAGCAATACAGAATCCCAACTGCAGCAGAACTCAGATTCTTGTGCTTGGAAGTTATAGTAAAATTGCGCACTCACCGGATGTGCATTGAATATGCACATATAAATAAATCCACCACGGTCCTCTTATGGAGTGGGATATGCCAGGCGTATGGTAAACTTCCTTTAGGTATGGAACAGCACAGCAGAATTTCTTGGGTTGGATAGGTGGTCTGCTCATCCAGAGGTCCCATTTAAGGATGGATGGGTCTGCAGCCTGTGTTACAGGGATTCCCTCCTCTGGGTGCTTGGATGGGTCAGGATTATGAGAAGGCTCTCTAATTTAATAGCACTGTCCATAGCTCCACTAATTCAGCAACTATAGAATCAAGAACCTGGACGGAGCCCCGGATCTCCCTCTAGATGAGCGAACAGAGTTCAGTTCGGGATGTCGCCTCCTCCTCTCACTGCCACTGCTCCGTCCATGAGCCGAATCCCAACCAGGCACTGAGAGATGCTGGGTGGAGAGAGCCGGAACTACCACTCCCAGCACCCCCCGCGGCAGCCACAAGCCTTCAATCCTGCGGAAACTTTATTCAGCACACACCTGTGTTTATCGTGTGTGCTGAATAAAGTTTCCGCAGATTGAAGGCTTGTGCTGCTGCCGCAAGGGGGTGCTGGGAGTGGTAGTTCCGGCTCTCTCCTCCCAGCATCTCTCAGTGCCTGTTGGGATTCGGCTCATGGACGGAGCAGCAGTGAGAAGGAAGCGGCGACATCCCGAGCTGAACTCTGTCCGCTCATCTAGAGGGAGATCCGGGGCTCTATCCAGGCTCTTGATTCTACAGTTGCTGAATTAGTGGAGCTATGGACAGTGCTATTAAATTACAGAGCCTTCTCATAATCCTGACCCATCCAAGCACCCAGGAGGAGGGAATCCCTGTAACACAGGCTGCAGACCCATCCATCCTTAAACGGGACCTCTGGATGAGCAGACCACCTATCCAGCCCAAGAAATTCTGCTGTGCTGTTCCATACCTAAAAGGAAGTTTACCATACGCCTGGCATATCCCGCTCCCATAAGTGGACCGTGGTGGATTTATTTATATGCACATATTCAATGCACATCCGGTGAGTGCGCAATTTTACTATAACTTCCAAGCACAAGCATCTGAGGTCTGCTGCAGTTGGGATCCTGTATTACTATCATTTCATTATTTATGAACTTTTATGAACTTTTTAAGTTTAATTCGTCACTTTTATTTACTAACTTATATTTAGCGCTGCACTTCTTATTTATTGTTTGACAGAGGTTTTTTATGGTTACCTTAGTGCAATAGCTGCTTTTTCTTGAGCGCTCACTTTGCTTTATTTTATAATTATTGTACTATAAAATTTGCTCCTCTTTACAGTCAAAGGGACCCTTTTAGGCTCTGTTCACACCTGTGAGCTGCAGGAATGTGTGTGTACCTAAAGCACAGGAAAGCGCTATGTTTTTCCTGAAGTTCCACTGAGGTGTCATTCATTCTTAATGGCACTCCAAAACACCCTGGTAATGCACATGGGCTGCAGCATACAAGGCATAACTTATTACCATACATTGTGGTGCTCTTGAGTTTTGCACTTCTTTGGTGTGAACTTTGTGCATTGGATGGCCCAGTCAAACTCAACCCATCCAAACCTTCAAAATGGGTTGTCCTAATGCAATGTGCATCAACACACATGCATCACAGGGCACGGGTGTGACCCTAGCCTTCAGTGAGGACATATTTTTGCACCTCCCAACAGTGTTACAGATCCTCTCAGGAATTCAATAATCTAGAGTACATGTGCAATATATGGGTTAAAGCAACCTGTACTGGAACTTATGGGGACAACCATTACTGATCTCTACCTCTCAAAACACTAGTTGTCTGACTCTCATACTGAATAAATACAGTACTATCTGACCCATATGTATGCAGATCAGGAGTTTTGACTGCACTTTGACTTTTGTGATCTTAATATTAGCCCCTTGAAGAGTCACTTTTGTTCATATGTGGGTTGAACAAAAAAATAAATAAAAAAAAACTTGATTCTCCCATTCAAGGTGGATGGAGGAATCCTCCTGCTGAGCTATTGCATTCTGATAGCAGGGAGACTTCCCCACCGTGAGAACACACTGATCAGCGTTGTAGGCTATAGCCTGTGGTGTTGATCTAGCGGCAAAAATTGACAGGGTGGTTGTACAGAAGTCGACAGATCTACTTCTGTACATCCACCCTGCCCATACATGGATTGAAAAATTGGACAGACCCTACTGAACAGGACAAATTTTGATCCAGTGTCAGCAATTACAGGTTTGGTTGTTTTTTCCCAAAAAGTTTATTTTAAATGTGTGACAAGGTGAAGAATGTAATGTTTCAAATAAATGAACACAGTAGATTCCGGTGTGATTTTATGAGCCTGGTTTCCTCATAGGGGAAGAATTATATGAATGTAACTGGCACAGTGAAGGCGACATTATAATTTTTTAGAGTACTTACTGTTATCCCGTGGGATGAGCCCATGTGCTGCACATGTAAACCTGGAGAGTTGAAGTAAGACATTCCAGCTCTAGTGAGGGAGGTTGGAGGTGTGAATCCCACATTGTGACTTGCATAGGACAAGCCTAGGATACAAAACTGGTTTAATCACATTCAGGTAGCTCAATCTTTATAAACATAGTTTATATAATGGTGGACGACACTAGATCAAAGAACGGATTGAAAGAAAAAAAAAATGTATATAGGGATAAAGGCTGTTCAATAAAGAACAGATATCATGTGAGGGCATAAATACACATCTATCCCTTCTTACTTTTCTCTGCAAAATACTGTGGCATACACTTCTGACAGTATTTCTATCTATATATATTTTATCTATACACACACACACACACACACACACACACACACACACACACACGCTATAGTTATATAATGGATATGGGCAGGTTTAATTTGAGGGTATGTACATCCAAATTGGAGGAAGGGTTTAGGAATTACAGTTTAGGAGTAGCCATACCCCTTTTCAAGAGACCAAAAGTAATTGGACAATTGAATGAAAAGCAGTTTCAAGGCCAAGTGTGGGCTACTCCTTCGTTATTTCTTCATCAATTAGAGCTCGTTCACATTTGACTTTTTTTTTTTCCAACTCTTGCAAACACCCCTATAGCGTTTGACAAGCGTTGGTCCGGCGTTTGCGGAGCATTTTTACCGCTCCGCAAATGCTCCAATACCGCCGCATGCGCAGTTTAGCGGCGGTTGCTAGGCGTTTGCCAAGTTTTAAAAAAACACCCCACAAACTCCTATAATGAAGTTTGAATGGTATTAACGTCCCGCAACCGCACCGCAAACGCTGGTCGGGCGTTTGCGGTGCGGCACCATAGACTTGAATAGGAGGCTTCAACTCCTCCTGACTCGACCAGAGGCGTCCAAACAGCACTATGTGCTGCAATGTGCAGAATTTTTCGAGGCGTTTGGAAAATGGTAAAAACGCTTCCCAAACGCATGTCTGTCGCTTGCTAACAAGGCTAGTGTGAACGTAGCCTTAAGCAGGTAAAAGGTCTGGAGTTGATTCTAAGTGTGGTATTTTCATTTGGAATCTATTGCTGTGAACCTACATCATGCATTCAAATGAGCTGTCCATGCAAGTAAAACAGGTCCTTGTAAAGATTAAAAACATAAACAAATCCATCAAAGAGATAGTGGCAACATTAGGAGTGGCCAAATCAACAGTTTGGTACATTCTGAGGAAAGAAGAACACACTGGTGAGCTCAGCAACATAAATAGGCATGGACGTCCATGGTAGACAACAGTGGTGGATGATCGCAGGATCCTCTCTATGGTAAAGAAAAACCCATTCACAACATCCAGACAAGTGAAGGACACTCTCCAGAAGGTGGGCGTATCATTGTCAAAAGTCTACAATCAAGAGAAGACATCATGAGAGCCAATACAGAGGGTTCACCACAAGGTGCAAACCATTCATAAGCCTGAAGCATAGAAAAGCCAAATTAGACTTTGACAAAAAACATCTAAAAAAGCCAGACCAGTTCTGGAAAAGCATTCTTTGGATGGATGAAACTAAGATTAACCTGTACCAAAATGACGGGAAGAAAGGAAAAAAAAAAAAGTGTGGAGAAGGCTTGGAACAGCTCATGATCCAAAGCACACAACATCATCTGTAAAATATGGTGGAGGCAGTGTGATGGCATGGGCATGCATGGTTTCCAGTGGTACTGGGTCATTGGTGGTGTTGAAGACAGAAGCAACCAGTTGAATTCTGTAGTGTTTAGAGATATACGGTTAGCCCAGATGCAGCAACGTTAATTAGAGGATGCTTCACAGTACAGATGGACAATGATCCAAAAACACACTGCAAAAGCAACCCAGGAGCTTTTGAAGGAAAAAAAAGTGGAATACTCTGTAATGGCTGAGTAAATCACGTGATCTCAACCCAATTGAGCATTCATTTCACTTGCTGAAGGCAAAACTAAAAGGCAGAAAGACCCACAAAGAACAACTGAAGACAGCTGCAGTTAAAACCTGGCAAAGCATCATAAAGGAGAAAACCCAGTCTTTGGCAATGTCCATGGGTTCTAGACGTCAGGCAGTTATTGCCAGTAAAAGGATTCTCAACAAAATATTTAAAAAAGAAGAACATTTTATTTATGATTATATTAATTTGTACAATTACATTTGAGACCCTGAAAATGGAGGGACTGTGTATAAAGATGGTTGCAGTTCCTAAAATTTGTATTTGACATTCATGTTCAACACCTTGAATTAAAGCCAAAAGTCTGCACTTCAAATTCATTTGAATTGTGCTTGTGTCCAAATATATATGGACATGTGTGTGTGTACTTATATTACACACACACACACACACACACACACACACTATACACTGCTAACACAGATGGCACATCTTCATTATGAGAGCGGGCTACTACATCCGAATAGTTCCCCACCCTGGGTGCAATGGACTGGACCTACCATCTTATTTTTAGGCCTCCAGGAGACAAAGCGCAAAAAAAGAAAGAGCGACACTCTCACTTTTTAAATTTAAATGTGATCGTAAAAAATGCTACATGCGGAGTGGTGTTCTTTTTTTATTTTGGTGCCTATTTGTCAGTGGGAGTTCCCTGGTTTCGGTGTTAATGAGAGAGTGAAAACACTATCACTGAAGTCCCCTGAGCACAGACTCTTTAGTTCAACTGGCACATCCCTATTTATTGGCTTTAGGCAAATGTCTCCATTCAGCATTTCATGCTATTGCACCCTATGGTAATATATTATTATTGTTATTATTATACAGTATTTATAAAGCGCCAATAGTTCACTCAGCGCTGTACATTACAAAGGGGGACAGAACATGTGACAGAACAATACCAATACAATGCAAAACATGAGGGGATCAAGGGCCCTGCTCTTTCGAGCTTACAATCTAGAAGATATACATATGGCTGAGTATAGGGGCTTCCTTTTTTGCTGAATGTATACAAATTCTTGGCCTCCAAGAGAGGTTGGCCATTATATTTGAGTGGCAAGATGCACAAGTGCAGTTGCTGGCTCCTAGGCCAGCAATGAGTTAGTCATGCCAGGCAGCAGATTTTTAAGACTTATTTAATGAAATATTTGCCATTGTGTTCGATATTTTGCAGCATACAACAGGACTAAAAGCAAGAATGGTTGTAAAGCAAAGCTTTAGAAGAGAAAAAAAAAATCATTCAATCTGTTATAATATCTTAACAGCTGCAAAATGTTTCTCTACTTAACTTAATCTGTGCCGTCATCTTCCAGGTCTCAGTGTGGTTTCCTTGTACATGCCTGAAACTTTTCATAAGCAAAAAGATTGCAGTCCAAACACTCCCTTAGCTAAAGGAAAAAGCTTGTAAAGCTGACTGTCAACCATTCCTACTCTGCCTTTCTTACCGAAAAAGCTTGTAAAGAAACTCCCAGTCAGCCATATTTTTACATCCCTTGTGAATCCTTCAGTGAATAAGACTTCTTTAGTATATATACAGTATACTACTGCTGTTCATGAGAATTTGGCACAATGCAACACTATGTGGAAAGGTCATGAGTAAAGAACCCATTCTTTGACATCTAGTTCTGGGGCACAGTCTCCGAAGGTTAGTCTCACTGCCCCAGATCTGAATTGTGTCACATGGACAAGGGAATATACGATTATAATAGTCTTGCCTTTCATGTGTTTTTCTTTGTGATAATTATAGTCGAAGAACTAAAAAAAAAATAAATTACCAGGAGAAATGGGCCGGCTGGAACTTGGGGATGGGGTGTAGGGAATAGGACTGGATACAGTACGTGGTCTTAATCCTTGTGCAGACATCTCATTAAAATACCTGTAGAAAGAAATTATTAGTTATTACAGCAGCATTGGGCATAGAGTAAAAATAATAAATACATAAATGTACAATTTAAAAACTAAATGGATAAAACAGGTGATTATAAAGAACATGTTTAGAGAAATACAGGGGCTGTCACTTCTATTAATGCCGGGATGTCATTCTGATATAAAACAGTTCTGATACTTTGTCTTTGAATAATTATACATATCATTTGTTTTGCCTAAAAACATAGAAGAGTAACAGGGGGAAAAAAAAAAAAGACCAAGTTTTTTTTATTTTACTTGGAGTAAAAATTTTTGTTTGCCCCAAGCATATATCTACTTACTGTCAACTGACTCACTACCTCCGCTGGAAGTCCATCAAACTTTAGTGGTTTAAAAGTAAAAAAAATAAAAATAAAAAAATAAAAAATACTTTCTAGGATCAATTTTGACATTTCCGGTGCTACTTTGAGGTCATGGCCTGTGCTCTTGATCTTAAGTTCATATTGAAAATACTGCCCTCCTGAACCTTATTCACCCCCTTGATCTATATCGAATGCTTTCACTTCTTTCCTCCAGACTGTACATATTAGATTTCTGAAGTCTCTCGTGATGAGTTTTATCCCTCAGACCTTTTACTATTTGTTGCCCATCTCTGGATTAATTCTCTCTTATCACCTAAGTTTTATATCTGATCAGTGACTTAGGCAGCCCATACATTAGTCTTTTTATTCGACCAGTGGGATGAAAAACAAAAAATAAAAATAAATAAATAAAAAAAAAGACCACCCCATCCACATTAAATCACTCCTGCTAAGATATTATATTCGGGCAGCAGGACATCTTTCCCACTGTCAGAATACACAGAACAGCGTTGTGGGCTATATGCTGTGGCACAAATTGATTGGGAAAAACCTGACAAGGTGGTTGCCCAAATCAATCGGTAGATCAACTTCTGTATAACCACTGTCCCCATACATGGATCGAAATTTGGTCATTCCTTGCTGGACTAGTTGAATTTCTATCCATGTATAGCCGGCATAAGAAGTACTGAAGGTGGAGACTGACAGTAGGCAAACATTTATTTGAGGGACAAACAAATATTATATAAAGGAAAAATGTTTGATGCTGATATAGGATCTCAGGCTGCCGACAAGGAAAGCAGAGTCTCATACAAAGTTAATGAGAAACATTGTCTCTGTGTCCACTCCATCACAAAATACTCAGTGCCTATGGGTATAGCGGAGCATGTGATGGCCTCTACTGATGCAGTGCCTGTGCTTGAGTACGAAGACTGAAAAAAAACAAAAAAACAGACATCACTGCTATCTCTAGGCTTTGGAGAGATAAGTTGTGCATACTTTCACTATATGGCAAAAGCCCTGAGGACCCTCAGGGGACTTTAATTTTGCTGTAAGTCAACTAAGAAAAAAAATTCCACCAGGAATATGACTATTTATTAAAAAGGTATATCAACCACAAGACCTCTCATCATCCATTTCTAAGCTGGACTCGCTTTCCGACAGCTGTCTGCACAAGGCCTCTCGTCTCTCCATTTCTCTCTGAAGTTTCCTCTGAAGTCGCAGGTTTTCTTCCCTCATGTGACGTTCTTCCTCCAAATACTGGGCATCTTCTCTGTATCTGCACATGATGAACAGACATTAAGCTAATATTATAGCACTGACAAAGCCCAGCGTAATATAGGATTTTTTTTTACTCACTGTAAGATCCTTTTCTTGGTGTCCATTTAAGAACACAAAAGTCTTCACCTCCAGTTATACTGCCACCAACAGGAGGATTGGCAAAAAAAAAAAAAAAAACACAAAAAAAACAAACAAAAAAACTGCAGAATAACCCAGCATTACCTCTGCTATCAATTTCAGCAGGCTCAGTTAGGACAGTTCAGCATTAAAATGATCCACTTTATTAATATACAAATGGCAACTCACTGGGTTAACAGATGAAAGGCATGTCTCCACATATCTCAGTAGCTACGTGTTTTAGAGCTTCATATTCTTTCTTCAGGCCCTGAGAGTGGTCAACGAACACATGACATTCAAGCAACAGTGTAAAGATAGGTAATTCCCTGAACAAATGAGGACTTAAGAGCATATGCTCTGGCTTCTTTAACAAAGGAAATCTGGTTAACGTTGCCTGCGGGACACTGCAAAACTTGGCTGAGTCTTGAAACATTTGGACCATTCGGAATATATTTCCAATAATCAGACGTTGGCTGTTTCCCTCACAGAAGAGTATATCAATGGGGGAACCATGAGAGTCCACTGAGGCAAACAATGGAGCCAGCACCCAGGAGAGAAATCGGAATGCAGGGGAGCAAATTCAAAAGCCTTGGGAGGGTAGTGATCAGTATAACATGCAAAATGTTTGGACTCAAAGATCCTAAAAGAGACCAATGTTTTTTCTGGAGGTTTTCCAAGGCTAGGTTGGGATAGATTTCCTGAAACCAAACTGACACAGGAGCTAGGAAGGAAAAAAAAAAAATCTATATTTTAGACTCCAAAAAAGGAGAAGGGTTGGGTCTGCTAATCTATGTGTTAAGATCAGAGGGTTGGAGCTGAGGAACTGATGTACTGGTGGCAAAGGTCTAAAATTCAGAAGAAAAAAACAAAAAAAAAAAAAACACCACAGAATGGTGTCTGGAAAAGTATGTTGCACACAAACAGTGCCCAAAGGTCACTTCTAGGCTAGTCCTGCAACTTGTGGTTTAGTGGGGTTCAATCACAGCACTCCAAAGTGGAGGATAGGTCACGCCAGACAGCTGCAATCACAGACACCACCTCTAGCACCAATGTAGGGAATAATCTTAATTGGAAATAAAAAATGGATAGGCTTTTTCAAGCAGAGCTGAATAAACATAAAAACAAAAAAAATTATCCATTTCCCTTGGACAGGAGCAAAAATCTGAGACACACTGGTAGCAGGAGGAGCCATCTTGGACTGACCTAAAGGTTATGTTTGCCAGTGCCCAATCTTCCTGTAGGCAGCAGTATGACCAAAAAGGTACAGACTTCCCATAACACAAGAACTGAGAGAAAAACACAACTGTATTAAAATCAGGTGTCCAGTAGCCATTCCTAATGCACTTGAAGCAGAAATGTTTGTTGAGCTAAGTAACTTACAGTATAATTGTACTTTTTTGATTTAAAGTGAAATTTTAGAATATTTGTTTATATTCATTATGTTTAGGCCTGAAAAACTTTAAACTTTTTAGCCAGGTAAGTGCTACTGCAAAAAAATATTTCATATTTACCAATGGTACCGGCTCAGCAGGTGCCATTATTAAGGTCATTCTGCTCTTCACCAAGCTCACAATGCAATGATGTGAATAACCTATGATGTGGACCTGAATAGCAGTTAAAGAAGTCACAGAAGGGACATCTCCTCTTTCCACACAGTTTTCCATTACATAAACAAATTTACCAGGTTAGCAGACAATGCTGGGCTCTCTCATTAGAATGCCTAGCATGCTCTTAAAACAGTGTGTGTATATCTATCTATATAGATATCTCAATCCAAACACTATATAAAATCAGTTTATAAAGTTGTACACATTAAAGCACTAATTTCAGCAACAACTTATATCTATAGGTTGCCCAAAGACAGCCAGGCCTACATCTATGTAGCTAATATTCTTGCCCCAAGCTAATAAAGTGCTGAAGATTTAGACCTCATGCACACTGGACATTTTTACAGCTGACATTCTTTTCTACAGCCAGTAAACACCCCAGCATGTTATCCTATGTGTCCAAGTACACAGACTGTAATCAACGTTTTTTTTGGCAGGGGCGTTTTTTTGGCTGGAGAAAAAACCCAGAATTAGTGGGTTTCTAGGGGAGTTTTTTTAGCTGTAAAAACACGAACGCTGAAAATTGCGGCAAACCAGCACTTTTGGACATTTTTTGTCCCCCCCCCCCAAAAAAAAAAAAAAACACCACCACCTCAAAAAAAAAAAAAAAACACACGTGACAAAACGCCGCTGAACACGAATACAAAAATGCTAAAAACCCCTGAAAAACTCACGTTTTTAACATGACTTTACACAGCCAACGTTACCTGCCTTATTAAAACGCTCAGTGTGCATGAAGCCTAAAAGAAAGATCCCCCTACCAGCATCTAGAGGTCTGGCTTATCCACAAACTTCCAAGAAGGATGAATAATTGCAGTGACTAAGTCTTAGGTGATAAATGGATGATGCCTGTAGCAAGGTTGCTCATTGCTTTAAGGAAAAGAGGCAACTGATTAGCTGTGAAAAAAAAACAGAGCCGATTCATGAATTCACAATTTTATTAGTACAAAAAGGGTAACCTTTCTTATCTCTTGGAAATGCCAGAAAACAAAGCACACAAGGACATGAACAAGATGAAATGCTGCAGATAAAATCATCAAGGGGCATTCATCATGAACAAAGTCATGTCCAGATAGGGGTTTGTTGGTTTTAGTACACATGAATGATGACAGTATTAGCTAATCTCCGACAAAAATCTCTAGTCCGAGAGAATAATATTCATATAAAAGTTAATGAAAAAGAATGGAAGCTCACTCCAGAAATCAATCAATATCCAGGTACCAGTCAGGTAGAGGACAAAGCTCATTGTAAACTGCAGGATCATTGCACATTATGAATGCATACTGCTTTTTCAGTAGCACAGCTGTGAAAAATAAAGCTTTCATTTGGGGAGAATCAAACCCTCCCCAAAATCAGATTTTACTCTTTTCCCTTTACTTGCACAAAGCCACTCCCCTTCCCACCCCCCTTTTCCCCCATATTTCTTAACCCCTTTCCTTTCACTGGAATCTCTAATATAAATCCAAGTAGTTTCTCTCCATGTCTTAAATAAAAAATGTTATCTTTAAATCATAAAAAGACGAAAATATACTTGAAAACGTATAGCAACTGACCTCCTTCGACAAAAGATACCTTTCTTCAAGAAAGCATTTTAATGTAGATCAAATTCATTCAATAAAAGACAGATTCTGTCCTACTACAAATTATAGCCATTGATTCACGAGCATCTCCGAGAGGGAGGAGAACTGTACGTAAACAATACAGTTCTCCCTGTCAGCTTGTGTACACTGCTTTGGATGGCTGTGCACAGCACAGGTTCCATTGTAAAAAAAAAAAATCCTCAGGAGGACAAGAATACGGGGGGGTGGGGTGGGGTGGTGGGGGGGGGAGGTTCCATTGTTGTAAAACTGAGAACCACACTTAAACATCAGAAACAACAAATTATAGATCTATTCTGTGAAATTGGCATGCTGGAGATGATCCTTATGGTAACCAGTATGGTAGTTCTTCAGCTCATGCCCGCAGACAACAGCGATCCAAAACCGGTGTCTTTTATAAAAGTTTAACTGAATATTGGGAAAACACTCGTGTCAGATGTCTACACCAGTCAATAAAGATATAGCCAATGGCGCCTGCTGCTGTTTGAGTCCCTGTGTGCAGAGGAAGTGCGCGGAGAAGAGATGCAGTCATGCACAGCGCTGATCTCTTGTCCCCTCTCTTCCCCTTCCCTGTGTAAAGGGGAAGAACTGGGAACTTAAAATATGTTTTACCTCAATGCATTAAGGTAAAAAAAACATTTTTTAGGTTTTGTATCACTAAGTTGAGCGCATACGGAAATACCTCTAACAACCACCTTCCTACCCTTGATGATCAAACCAGTTTAGTTCTAAAACATCCTATAACCTTACAGGAATTGGATCTAACTACTAAAACAAATCAATGGTGGTAAAACCCCAGGTCTGGATGGGTTCACACTTGCATATTACTATTTTCACAGTTTCTCTCTTTACTTTATTAAAGCAATTAACAAAATACCTTCTTTCAGAATAAACATAATGTAAGCCTAAATGGTATCGAATGGTATAAGGTAAAGAGCCTACAGTCTGTTTCAGCTACCAACCTATCTTCCTGCTTAATATAAAACACAAAATTATTTGTTGTGTCTATGTCTCCTGAAAATTATTCACCTCAATCAGGTGAGCTGTATGCCTATGAGGGATGCAAGAGCCACCACAACATGGATCACAATGGATAATGGCATATTACCATAACCCCTTCTGGCAGGCTCTGCATTAATGGACTCTTATCAGATCATTCACCGTTTCTAAAAGGAGTAGGCCGGGTTGCCCCTTATCTCCAATTGTATTCCCATTGACACCTGAACCGCTAGGTCTCTCTATCAGGGCAAACCCCAATATCAAATAGAATCATTAGTCTGCACCATAAGATTGCTATTGCAAACAACCGTGTTATTTCTTTCTACCCTGAATAATTTCTGGTCCAAACCGGTCAGAATTCCAGAAATATGGAGATCTTTAATATTAAGAAAACCCCAAGCCTCAAATCTCTTCCACACCTGTATTCCATTATATAAATGTAGATACTCATCCACCTAGCAACCTTACTGAAGCACCTAATCAATACTTTTGCAATATAGGAACTGATCTATGGACAGGTAGATCAAAACAAAATCTTTAACCCTCAATCATTGCTTGCATTTGTTTGGGGCAAAAAAAAAAAACAAAAAAACACCCAGAATAAAAAGCTATACTACACAAATTCAAGACTGAAGGAGACCTGGCCCTACCAGATATCAAAATATACCACACAGCTATTCATTATGCTCACATTATTGACTGGTGTAGACATCATAAAAACAAACTATGGCTACTCTTGACACAAACTACTTCTCTTTTCCCCTGTTGGTTCTGCCTTGGTGCCTCCAAATCATCTCACAATCAGTTAAACTTTGAAAACTGCCCAATAGGCCCTGCTTTCTTTTTACTACATCATAACAACATACCCTTCAAGCTTCACAAGAGGTTGATCATTATCAGTTTGGTAAAATGCTGCATGTGCATGTATACCTGCCCTATGGGAAAAGTCACACCCATCTACAATTGTTTAGTTCAATAAGCAACATTAAAACACTGGAGAAAATTCTCTTTCAATTTCAATGGATAGATTTTACCAATATGGAAGAATATAAAAACACTAGTGGAACTCGTGGGCAGTGCTGAAACTTGCCACACAGTTGCTCTCCCCCGCGCCAATTTTTCCCTTTTATTCACTCTGCTTACTTCCTTCCACTTCTATTCTGTATTTCAACAATTAGTAATTTTAGGGATTCTTATATATTCCTACCATTGTTATTTAAATCTCTGCCTTAAAGCAGAACTCCGGGGAAAATGTACTTACTGATTTCCTACCTTCACTGAATATATCTGGTTCACTCATTCATCTTTCTGGTTCACTCAGTAGTTGCTCTGAAATAGTTAATAGTCTTTAGTGTCTCAGTTTCTGCAAAATTCAGTGGCTGCTATGTCTCCTATTGCTGCAGCCTATAATTCAGTGGCTGCTATGTCTCCTATTGCTGCAGCCTATAATTCAGTGGCTGCTATGTCTCCTATTGCTGCAGCCACTGGTGTTGGCAGATCCCTTCTGTAGTTCTTCTCCAGGAAGTATTGCTGTAATACAGCCCCACTTGCAGTGGTGGGCGGACTGAGACCCTCAGACACATTCAACATGCAGGGTCGGTGCCAGCATAAGGTGGCTTAGGCAGCAGCCTGTGAGTGCCAGAATGGGGGGGGGGAGGGTAAGGTGGGTAGTAAAATCCGAATCCCCAGCCACCTGCCGGGGATTCGGATTTTTGAACTACCTGTCTGTTCCCATACTTCCCAACAGTCTACACTAGCGCATCCTTGCCCGGTAAGGCACTGGGTTCTGTTTTGGGATTCAGCATTGATTCTTACAAGTAATCCCAGCACGGTCCCGGTGAATTACAGCAGAATACGGAAGCAGAACCCAGTGCCTTTCTGGGCAGGGGCACGCTAGTGTGAGCACTGGTGACAGCTGGCTGCCCCGTACCTTGTTAATTTTATTTGCGAGTCCTCAAGACGCAACTGCATTCCATAAGATGCACAGCCACTGGATTGCATGGTACTACTGTACCATGCTATCCAGTGCATGCAACTGCACTGCGTTTGGGCTGAAAGGGTAAAGTGGGGGAGGGGGGAATTATGCACTCTGCTTACCCCTACACTGTGCGTTACACGCTCTTGACGTCTGCACTCTTTTTGTTTTGTTCTCCTGACTATGCATTACACAATCCTGTCCCCTGCATACGGTGCATTACATACTCCTGGACCCTGCTGTCTGTGTGTCATATACTCCTAAACCTGAAACTGACTACAGCCCTCAGTGCGTTACATACTCCTGATCTTTGAATATATTACATTACACACCATGGATCCCTGCAGTCTGCATTATCTCTTCTAAACCCGATACTGACGGCAACACCCTGTACATTGCACATCCCCAATCCCTGCACTCTGCCTTACAGACTCCTGCATTTTATACACTATATTGTACATTATGTACTTATCACCAAAGCGTTCATTGCCTCAACAGTTGCTGGTTGCTATGCAGTCCCTGACTATTAATGAAGGTCTTTTTTTAAAGGTAGGGGAGAGTGGCAGCGGGAAGACTGGGCACCAAAATACACTTTTGCCTATGTAAACAAAAATCCTTGCAGCGGCCTTGTCAACATGTACAGGCCTAGAGTACCTGCCCAAATTCGTTATAATTCCCTGTGGGTGATAGTAACTGTTTCCTTTTACTGCAGAGAGGAAAGAGTATGTAATCCCTGCTGTTACTCCTCCTCCTTGGCAGAGCAGATGCGGTTATCTTTTGAATTACAGAGATAAGATCATGAAAATTAAACTTCTCTCCTAAATGGTAAGGATTTTCAAAATGTTAGTACACTCCCCTACACAAAACTGTTAACAGGTACTTTTTTAGGCTTATCCCAGAGTTCCCCTTTAACTGTGATCTCAAAGTTGTTCATTTTCCCTTTTTTATATGTATTAAAATGGAATAAAATAAAGATATTTAAAAAAAAAAAAAAAATCACTTTGTATCCTTCCCTCTAACTTTGAAGACTTCTCTAACTTTCAAACACACAAAGAAATTGAAAAGGCGAGTAGCCAATTATGGCATAGCTGAGCAATTTGTAAAGTGTTTTTAAAGGCTCAAGGTTTTTTAACTTTCATGCATTGCATAGAGGAGAATCAGGGCGGTTCTGTGCAAATCCACTGCACAGAGCAGGTAAGTTTGACATGTTAATTTAAAAAAAAAACAAAAACACAACAAACAAGACTATAGTATCACTTAAGTAGAAAGAAAACCGCTTAAGTCACATGTTACAGGAGCATACACTATTCTGTTCTGAGTATGCAGTGCCATCAATTATGACGCAATGGAGACACTGGGCACTAAAAAAGGTTGCAGGGTAACAGGTCCTGGGCCATTATCTTTTCTCTCTCATTAGAAAGGTCTTGTACAAATTTGTATGTTACGGCTTATTTAACACTGCTGTATGATAACCACTGGCTAGTGTAATAATTCATAGAGCCTTGATTGCAGAAGGATTGAATAGGCAAACACTTCCTTTATTCTATAGGAAAATACTAGATATTACATACATTTAACTACAGATGCATCCTATGGGTATTATACCATGTGTATTATTCTTATTTTGCTTTGTAACTCACCCCATGTAGCTGACATTTTTATACATGTCAATGATCTGTTCAACTACGTGTGCTTTAATATATTGAATTGTAATAAAAATACTGGAAGAGAAAGGTCGGATACAACTTGTAACATGTAGTGATTACAGCAGTTTCTAAGTTAAAAAAACAATATTCTGCTATACAAATTGGCTGGAGTTTGCCAACAGCAAAGGGCATGTATAACTAGAGATGTTCACTTACGCTGTAACTGAGCAGCCCTTAGTTGCTTCTTTAGCCTCTCTACTTCATTCTTTAGGAATCGTATATGTCTCATCATGTTTTCCGGAGAGTCTATTTCCATTGATATGTCTCGTGGTGATGGTGGGGCAGACACAGGCTGGTCTAATTTCTCTTGTAAAATTCTAAAAAGAGAAGTTGCTGCCATGAAATTTGACATCCAAGCTTTACACATGCAATAAGTAATAGGTCAGGCCCTGTAAATGAACATTTGTCTAAGAGAATGTATTTTCTTTTGTTTAATAAAATCTTTTTTTTCTTCTCCCTTTTGTATATGTAAAAGGGCTAGACTTTTTTTTTTTTTTAAATTACATTTGAAGGCTCTGAAATGACCCACTGGCTTCAATACTTTGAATCAATGATCTACATGAATTATGAGGGCCAAATATTGACTTCCCGACAAACCTCTTGTTGGCGGAAGGAGAAAATCTGAGTTTGATGGGTATGGGTGCATGACCCCAAAGACCGTGTTCGATCGGGGCCGTGCACATATAAGCACTCGATGCTTGGCCTGAAAAGCCTGCTCACCAAGCGAGCTGTCCAACAGGGCAAGCATTAGGCAATTCCAATAGCTCTGGATCTGGGAAGCAAGTTCTACAGCTGCTTCACCTCTATTGACTAACAAAGGCTGACTGCATGCTGCTCCAGAAACTAAAGGCTCTTCGCGCTGTACAGTCCTCTGTGCCTGTGTGGATGAGCAATCACTGTAACTGTTAAAGTCGTAGTAAAGTCTTTGTTTATTTACACCTACAGGTAAGCCTATAACTAAGGCTTACCTGTAGGTACAGGGAATATTCCCTAAGTGTGCATTCAGTTTACTTGTATAGCAGCCAGTGATGTCACTGGCACATGTGCACTGCGCTCTCAATGGACGGCATCCTGTCCATTGAGAGAGCAAAGCATACTAGCACATTATGCTCTTTACCTGCAGGGTGAAGACTTGTTAGTTTTTCTTTTTGCAGTTTACTACAACACTCAAATTATATTCCTGGTACTAAGCTTGTCAAGTTTATTTACAAATAAAATAACTTATGTTATACATAGACAAAAACTTTTCCCCATGGGCCTTCTGGGCAGTCCAATGGTATCACAGGTTCTTTTCTGCTCTTGCAGCAGTCATTACCGATGCACTAAATGGTGCTCACTAATTTTGTGAGTGCCACTCAGTACAGCAGTATGGACCACCCAGAGTGGGGCCAGAATGATATGACAATCATTCGCTGCAGTAAGACAAACAAAATTCTAAGGACATTTGTAAATCACACTCATACTTACATTTTAAGCAGCAGAAAAGCTACTTTACAAAATGAGCATCTTAGTCTTTATAGCTTTGACACTTTTTTTTTTTTTAAACCTGATATGGCTGATAAAGCCTGATGTATACATCATCTCTATTTATCAGCCTGTGCATGATTGGCTTTAACGGCACTCCCTTTAAAACATTAACCACTTCACTACCACCATACATTCATGTGGGAAACATCTATGAATGGCACTTCAGAAATCACCCTAGAGTGGCCAGAACACCTGTTAATGGCTGTATAAAGACAGTATACAGAGCTGATCTGAGCAGATTTGCACCTTGTAATCATTAAGATGAACAATCACAATGATCACATATGCAAACAGTAATACTGTTGACATTGGAGAGCCTACCCCCTTCCTCTCACAATGAATGGATGAATCAATCACAGGGAGCAGCAGATTGGGGGTGAGAGGTTTTTATTGTGGGATCACTTTTATCCATCCCCCCCCCATTTACTTCTCCTTCCCTCCTGTACATTTTTGAGCTCCAACCTGCCTCAGAATTTGACCTGTATATTAACCCCTCTTAATCCTCCCACTGTACTTGACCTCTACATTAACCCCTTCATCTCCTTCCTCTGCCTACAATCTGTACATTTAATAATGCACTGTATCTAGTGCACCATTACCACTGTTTGACCACCTAAATACCAGCATGTCCATTTCCAAAAAGTTGTTGAAAATTTTCATTCGAGGCATTTGTGCTGATGTGAAATTTTTTAAATGTTTATAATGAAGGAAAAACTTTTTTTCCTCTTCATTCAATGAAAAAAAAGAAGAAAACAAAAAAAAAAAAAAACCACCAAACAAACACCACACAAAACGCACAGCGGTTATTAAATGCCACCAAAAGAAAGCTGTCTCAAAAATTATCTAAAATTAGTTCAGTCTTTAACCACTTCCAGTAAGTGCCAATTCTAGCATTTCTCTCATACATGTTAAAATCAGCACTCTTTTTTTCTCTTACTTAGAACCCCCATACATTTTCTGAAAGCGGAGGCACTTATGAATAAAATGGTGGTTATTGCAAATTTTTATGCGGCACAATGTTTGCGCAGCCGTTCGTCAAATGTAGATTTTCAGGAAAGATACACCTAAATGCATTTCAGTGCACACACAAACAATAGAATGTAATATTTTTGGTAAAATATAAAAGGATGATGTGACAAGTAAATAAAACAAAAAAATCTCAAAAGGCGACGCTTTAACAGCCTTTACAGGTTACACGTTTAGAGTAAAAATGTGAGCTCTGGTGCTAAAATTAATGCGCTCTTTTGCACATTTCAGGCAATACCTCACATATGGGTGCATTTACCACTTACATATGCATGCAGGACCTACGTGCATGTTTAAATTTGCGCATGAGTACAAGGAAATGGAAGCGCATTAAAAAATGTTTATGTTATGCATTTACTTTCTATAAACATGGTTCTTTAAATTTATTTAGTTTTTGATCAACGTTATTGCTATCACAAAGGATGAACAACATCCCTTTTGATAGCATGGGCAGTGACATGTACTCAGACCCCTGATCTCTCCTCTGCCCTCAAAAGCATCTGATCAAAAAGATTGGTTTTGATCAGATGATTGCCTCGCTAGTAACAGCTAGTAAACCAGAAAGGCTGTAAAACATGTCACTCCAGGCTCCATTTGTCACAGAAAAGGGGGAAAAAACCGGATGTCCCTTCTTCTCTGTTTGTAGCCACCCCGACCAAGTGAGGTGGTCTCGAGCTCTCCAATAGCACAGGAGAGCCTGGGAATGACGGCACCGGAGGGAAGGGGTCCCTTGGCACCCTATAAAAGTGATTGGGTGACTGTAAAGCTGCTCAGATCACTTTTACAGTAACACCCATAGAATGTTGATACCAAGATCATGGTTGAGGTTTCAGTACATCCTATGGATGGGAAGTGGATAATGACTGCGTAATTTTTTAAACTATCACAGCAATGACAGGAGAAAAATGGCCTGGTTAACAGATATTACAGGCTGGTACTCAAGTGGTTAATTAAACAATCATTTTTGGTGCACCAACACACGCAGTAAAGCAATGCCATCTGCTTTTTTCTTTACTGGCAATTTTAATATTTATATTTACAACAGGAAGAGTTAACTCATGTTTTCAGACATTTTAGAGATGTCGCACACATACCGTTTCTCAGCTTCAAGTTTGTCCATCCTTTTCCATAGACGATTTACTAGTGCCTCTTGCTCTTGCTCCAATGTATTTTCAAGGTCGATTTTCTCACGCCTTAGCTGAGTGCATAAAAAGATTTCAGTTAGAAAATGAACTTGTGCAAGAGCTGTGGAAAATGGGACAAGATTAAACCAGATGTTCAGATTCAGTAAATAAATTGACACAAAATAAAATCTTTCAAAATCAACTCCAGGCACAACTTTTTTTTTTTCAGCTTTGGAGAGAGTGGAAAAATGTTAGAAATCCTTTGCTTTCTGCCTACCTGACGAAAAAAAGAAGTGAAGAGGAACCTAGCCTTTAAGGAGGTATACACAGCACACATTCAGTGTGCAGAAGGGCTGGAACCGCCTTCAGGGTTTTATTTGTCCGTGTCCCATTAGAAGATTCCCTCACTTCTTGTCCAAGTGATGAGTGTCAGACAAAACAGGAAGTGAAGAGAAATCTCTCAAAACACAATCTATATTTTTTCATAAAAATATAGAAAGGAATATTTTAATCAAAAACTCCAAACTGCTAAAACAGTTGAAATTTATAAATGGTATGATGTTACACCTGCCAAGCAGAAACATCAGCCAAACCAGGAGGCAGTATTGATGGTCCTTACTACAAGAGGAATGTGAATAACATTTGGCCTGAAAATCCTTTAGCAAGAAAAACATTAAAGCGGAGCTCCACCCAAAAGGGGAAATTTCATGTTAAGGACTGCTCCCCCGCTCCCCATTAAGGATTGGCACCTTTGGGGAGTAGGGGGGAGCGAGTACCCAAATTTGAAAGGATCCCGCTCCCACTTCCGGTCCAATCGCCTGGGCGATTGGAAACAGAAGGTGTCCTCCCTCCCTGTAGTCTTTTGGGACACATGACAGGTCCCAGAAGACTACAGGACCATTCACGAAGTGCAGCACTACTCGCGCATGCACATTGGGTATCCGGCTGTGAAGCCACAAGCTATCACAGCCAGGTGCACACAGTGAAGATGCTGGCCTCCTGGAATACAGGATGGCCGGTGAAACGAGCTGTGGGGGGACACACCACAGGACCGAGACAGGTAAGTGGCTGTTTTTTTTAAAAGTCAGCAGCTACAGTTTTAGTAGCTGCTGACATTTATTTTTTGATAGGTCGAGTGGAACTCTGCTTTAAAAAGAGACACGGCCACCTTACACATGATGGGCAAAGCAACAGTGTCTTTGCAAGGGTTAGGCCCAACCCGGTTTTACTCACCCTACCAGTGCTCTCCCACAGTTCCTTTCACTCCCGCAACTGGTAGAAATAACCTGTACTTCCGATAGTGCCTGAATGTGTGTGGTTTCCACTCCCCCGGGACCATCAATAATTTTCTTTTGTTTACCCCCTCCCCCACCACCACCATCATGTACTGTTCTCCTGGAGTTTCGACAATTCTGGGTTTTTGGATTTATAAAACTTCCTTTTATTAAGCTTATAAGAGGTCTTGTGTTTTGAAAAGCTGTATCAAAAATTGCACTTATATAGTGTATAATTAAAAAAAACATTTAGTTTGCATGCTTTAGACCAGGGGTGTCTAACTTGGACCACATTGGAAAAAGAATGATCTTGGGCCACACATTAAATACACTAATAAGAATAGTTGAGCAGAAAAAGTCGGGCAGATCACAAGTTAACTAATCACTGAAATCGATAAAGGTACCTGAGTAATAAAGAACTTAATTTTTTGTAATTTTTTTAATTCTAAAAGTAAAAGAAAGCAATGTAAAACTAGCACGATATTTGACACTGCTTTGGATAAACGAATGCATCAATATCTGGTTGGATGGATATAGTTGCAATTCTCAATGAATTCTCAAGGTGCTCACCAGATATTTTGGTTCTAATTTTGCCCCGTGTGTTTCATCCTTGAAAATATTTGCTCACAAAATGCACGTGCCGATGAAAACTGGTAATAAAGGCATGATTGTAAAAAGCGGGGGATTTTTCTTTGGAAAGATAACATTTATAAAAGTAAAGAGACAAAAAAAAAAAAAAAAAAAAAAATCATAATTTTTAAGTAACTTCACAGTTTGTGTTGGGCCGCATTCATAGCAGTCTTGGGCCGCAAGCAGCCCATGGGCCACTGGTTTAGCACACCTGCTTTAGACTTTGTAGCAACCTGGCAACTTAATAGGTCACAGTAAAAAAAACAACAACCTATACCTGAAATGGATTCAGCGACTCTTGTGTCTGCTTTTGGTTGCAGAACTCAACACCAGAGGATTAAATAACAAAACATTATCTGTGCTTTGACCAACCAAACCCTATGAAATGTGAACTGCTGCAACTGATTAATCTAAATACTAAATTGTTTCAATCTAAATATACAGTGCGCGGTCCCTTTAAATAAAATACATACAGGTAAATAAATACCATGTGTCTATATAAGTGTATCCACCTCTCTCGCTCTATCTATAAAATCAGTGAAAACATGAAATATATAAAGTTATATTTTGTACATGAATTTTTATTCATGAATTGATTTAAAGTTCCAAAATGAATCGTGCTCTGTGCTGCAGGACTTCATATAAAGTGCTTCCGTATTCAAAAGGTGCACTTCAAACACCAAGCAAGCCTCTTACCAAAATGAAACGATCTCAGGCTATAGAGATCAAACAAGTATGTGCATAACAACGCCAGGCTGGCACTTTGTTAAACCACCAAAGAAATGGCTGCATTCAACAAAACGTTTTTGTGGTCCCACCAAGAATCTACTTCTAATCTCCAGTGCTGCTCATCATGATAATATAGAAGGGTTAAACAAGGAGACGCCTCATAGTGCAGTATGATTAAAAACGGTTTATTAAAACGTATTGCACTTACAATCAGGTGAGCATAATAGTCAGTGTACAACACTATACAACCGTCTGGCCACTGTCTCAGCATGCACGGTGGTGCGCGATGATCTCACAGACTCCACCCGATGAGTTTCCCCCCCAAAAAATTGCATCCACTGGGATTGGAAATCTCTGGTGGTTTGACAGTGAGTGCCAGCCTGGGGTTATGATGCACATGCTTGTTTGATCTCTGTAGCCGGAGATAATTTCATTTTGGCAAGAGGCATGCTCGTTTTTTGAAGAGCACCTTTTGAGCACGGAAGCATTTTATATGGAGTCCTGCAGCACAGAACACCAGAGGATTCCCTGTCTCACAGGAGTATGCAGTTGTTATGCGAGAGACAATTACTCCCCTAAAAAACAAAGTCAGACAGAGGCCAAGCAGTATTCTATGGATACAGAAAACACTCTTCCATTCCAATATTAAGCAAAGAAAATCTGTACTAAAAGAAATAAGGCAGTTGCTATTGGTGACCTGCTCTTCTGAAAATATGAATTGCCTAGCTGTCCTGAACATCCAAAATAGCTTTCATTCCCAGGGTCACAGATGTGGAACAAGTGTGTAGATAACAGGTTCTGGCTTCAGTTCTTGCATGCTTATTCAAGGTCTGAGTCTAAAGTGAGGCAAGTGTTTAGATGGGGGGTCGTCAAAGCAAGTCCTAAAAAGTTTTCTACCTTAATGCATTCTATACATAAAAAGGTAAAAAAAACATTTTAACTTTAGACCCGATACTAAATAAGTCAGCTAGCATTGTCAGGAAGTCAGCAATGACAGCAAAGGTTTATGTTACAAACCCTGCCTTTAACACAATGTTTAGAATTAGATTTAAGCAATTTATTTAAAGAGATCCTGTCACAGAGGGGGAGGGGAAGAAGGCAAACTGCTACAAGTAAAAAAGCAGAAACACTTTCTAACAGTGCTGAAGCTTGTCATGTTATTTCTCTTCACCAGTAAGGCTGACAATCATTGTGATGGGTGAATAGGAATGTGGGGCAGGGCTCAGTAACGAGCTTCAAACTACCCAATGTGTCCAAGCTTACCTGTCAGAAGGCTTGTCATTGCAATGTGACAGTAAAGTTAAACACTTGCAGCAGTCTGCCCCTGGTTACCAAAATAGTTTTGTTGAGATGCTAGACATGTGAAAGCATGTTCTACCCAACATGCAACACAAACCACTAATAAACCACTGATGTAACACTGTAGCACACACTTAAAGCAGTTCTAAAGTCAGTTTTTTTTTTACTAAAATAACAAACATGATAGAATTACCTGCTCTGTGTACAGAGCAGCCCAGAACCTCCTCCTCTGGTATTTCCTGCTGGCGCGGTCTGCCCCTCCTGGATCGATCCAGGAGTGAGGCAAGTGTTTAGATGGGGGGGGGGGGGGGGGTCATCAAAGCAAGTCCTAAAACATTTTCTACCTTAATGCATTCTATACATAAAAAGGTAAAAAAAAAAACATTTTAACTTTAGAACCACTTCTGTACCTCCAAGGCAGGAGTTTGTAGAGAAACAGAATATATCGCCTCCTAGTGGCCAGCTTACTGAAGCTACTAAAGCAGAGAGTTTTTTTTTGCTTTTTCTGCAAGCACTCTAAGGCTCCATGCACACTGGCTTAAAAATCTCTGCTTCTACAGGAGTTGTGTGTTTTGCCTATTTAGAGACATATTTTAAGCTCAGTGTTTAGAGGCAGGACTTTTTGTGACTGGAGCTTTCTGGCAGAAGTCTAAAGGCTCCTAAACCGTGTACTATCGCAGCATGGTTTTCTTGCAAGGAAACTGGCGGTTTGGGTTTTTTTTTTTTTTTTTTAAGCCCAGTGTGCATGGAGCCTAAGGTTCATGCACATTGGCTTAAAAGAAAAAAAAACCCGCTGCTTCTAGAGGAGTGTTGTGTTTTGCCTGTAGAAGCAGCTCAAAGTTGTCCCATGTGTAAATGCTAATTAGGATGTTTAGAGACATATTTGAGTCTTTTGGCATTTTTTTCTACAGCCAGTAAACTCCCCAGCATGTTATCCTATGTGTCCATGCACACAGACTGTAATCAGCGGTTTTTGGCAGGAAAAAAAACCCAGAACTAGTGGGTTTCTAGAGGAGTTTTTCTAGCTGTAAAAACACTCCAACTCTGAAAAACGTGGCAAAAAACGGCGTTTGACTTTTTGGAGCTAAAAAAAAAAAAGTAGCTAACCGCTAAAAAAAAACAAAAAAAAAAAAAAAACTGTACACAGCTAATGTTACCAGTGTTATTAAAACTCCCAGTGCGCATGGAGCCTTAAGCTCAGCATTTAGTGGCAGAGGAAAAAGAAAAAAAAAAAAAAAAGTAAAAGCTAAAATGTTCCTAAATGCCTGTACAAAAACAAACACTCTATGTGCTTGGTCAAGGGAACGGTCAAGGAAACTAGTGTTTTTTTTAAGCCCCGTGTGCATGGACTCAAACTGCAAAATTAAAAAAAAATGCAAGCACACACTTGTGTTTTGTAGCTTTTCCAGGTCTCCCGAGTGCTGTGCACAGTGCAGGACCTGAGGATTTCAGTTTCTTCGGCTGCACAGCTCAGGTGTAGTAGGCCTTTACAACTCCCTCACTGCACAGAATGTGGCAGCCCAGTTCTGCCCTGTTCTCACTTAGTAAAGTGTCTGATAAATGAGCAGAAGACAGGGAGGATTAAGGAGGGACATAAATACAATAGTACAACCCAGATGTCAAGGTATGGAAAAAATCCCTACAGAGAATTCCTGTAAGGGAATGAGCACATTACTTTCACCAGAGAGTAGCAGCTTCTTCATCACACCCCTCTAACGTAGAGGTAGACATTAAGATGGTACATGGATTATATTACATACAGATAAGGTACTGCAGATCAACAAGTATTTAGGAACAAAATTTTAACTTGCATTTTCAACGTGTTTGAATATTCTAAGTGATAATACTGTAATAAATAACATTGTCCCCTCTTCTATCTCCTTTAATTTTGCGTTGAAATAGAGAGCCGCTTGGACCATGAGCTCTTCTGAACAATGAAGGTAAAAAAAAAAAAATTAAAGTTTCAGATAAATCTCAAATTCTTCCTATTGACTGCTTCCCCCTTCTGCTGCCCAAGCCTCCTTGCCACTAGAACGTGTTAACACTATAAAATATCTAAGTGTACGAGCATCTAGATCGCCATTGGGAGTTATGGGTAGAATTGGGCTGCTAAAAATGGTCCTATTGCCCCAAAATCCTTTATAATTCTTTGGCACACTCCCCAGTCTATATCCCATTAAAAGGTACTTTAAGACTATGGACATGAGCCTTGAAATCTTTTGTTTGGGGGCAGCAGCACATATAAACCAGCATGGCGTTTACTTAAAAAAATTCCACCCCTTTGGGAGGCAAGGCCCTCCAAGATCTTAGCCTTTATTATTTGGCTGCCCAACTTTCCCATATTGGTAAAACAGATAGGGAAAGCTTCTGTGCTTTGGTATCAGACCCAGAAATTCCATCCAGTTTACACCCATTCTGTGATATTATTAGAGGTGTGCGGGATCTACTACACAGTCCTCCACTAAAATGGATAGCTTTCCATTATAAATTAATTTGGGATCTCTCCATCTCCCAGCTCAAAGCCCCACAGTTTTCATATGGACACCCCACTTTGGTCCAAGCAGCTGTTTCCCAAACTCTTAACCGACCACAAGTTGTTGATCTCTAGAGACGTATACCTCCTCTCCCATGTAATAGCCAATGGGACACTAAAAGACATTTGAGGTCCCCAAAGCAGTTCCCTCTCCCAAACTTTATGCTATTCCATTACATTCAGGTACGACATGCCCTAATGTTTCAAATCACTAATGGCATCCCAGCCCTCACATCATCTTTACTGGATGTGCTATATGGGGAATAACCCTGCAAATTGATCCCTTCTCTGTATGATCTTCTTCTCACCCCAGATGCCTCTGCTCTAGCCTACTCTCTCAAATCCCGATGGGTAACAGACATTGGGGCTATTGACTATGAGAAATGGGAAGAGAAGAAGTCCTAGACAACTGCAAAAAGGTTTCACTTCGGATGCCTGACTGTCTTACCCAACTCTACATTGTGAATAGAGCATATCTCACCACAACTCAACTTGCACAAATTAAAACTGACAGGGATTCTTATTTTCCTAAATGCCATATATCCCCGGGCACATCTGCCCATTTGATATGTCAATGCCCACGGATAAATGGATTTTGGACCCAGGTAATCATTTTGTACATGACCATATGGGTTCCCCTCTACCCCTGGATCCAAAACCATGCTTATTGGGAATAATCCCTGATTCAGAAGCTGATAGGTACTTTACTTCTTTTTTACATGAAACATTGTCTAGTTCCAGGAAATTGGTAGCCTGCCATTGCATACAGGCACTTCCTCCAACATTGGAGGAGTGGATGGCGGACATTAACAATATTTTACCTTTGAAGAAAATGATAAAATGTAAATAGAGGCTGTCCCAGCAAATACAATAACATATGGGATTGCTGGTTGCAATCTGTGGATACCTGCACCTAGATGGGATGGGTTTGGCATGGCCCCATATATAGACTGTACATTTATTCTCTCTCTCTCTATTTCTAGTATAGATACATGTATTACTCAGACACACACGCATTACCTCTCCTGTGGTAGACTTGCTCTCTCCATAAAGTGGTGATGACTGGCTGCTTTTCCCCAGCAGCAGGCAGATATATACCCTGTACAGGTTTTTATTCATATTTCATGATCGGTATTTTTTATTTTATTTTTCTTAGTTTGTTTGGTTGTTGGTTACCATTCCTGCCTAACCTTTATATAACCCAATTCTTTGTGCTGTAAACTTCAGATTGTTTTTTTTTTTCATTCAATGAAAGATTTTGCCTTTTTGGTAGAAAAGAGTTGGGTTTCAACCAGTGAGTTAATTCCTGCCAAAGAAAGGAGAAACTTTCCATTGTAAAGTACTGTTTATTGAATAAAAAACACGGGCGGATGCACTTACATCCTCTGAAAGAGGCTCTGCCTTTTTCTCCTCTCTTTTTTACCAAGGTGTAGGGGTGTGGGGTGTGTATGTGTCTAACCAAAGAAGAACAGTGGAACCGGTGCCAGGAGGGTGATACAGGGCTTTTTTCTTTTTTACTTGCTTGGTAGAAACAAGGAGTCAACTCCATCCAGTGAGTGGTGGTGAAGTTGGGGGCCACCTGGATTGCACCTATGTGAAGTTTACGTCTTTACTGGATGTATTACACATAAGTCACAAATTGACTGGGAATATTACAAGCACTGAGCAGTTTATATACAAGTCAGACTACATTTTATGGAGAGTATTTATATCTTTCATTGGTGCATGCAGTGATTTTATTTTGCTCAAATAGTGCTGCATCCTTGAGTTTTTAATTTTAGTTTGAGGTGTTGTGGACACCTTGCAGCAGGAGCTGGGTTAATACACTTTTCTTATAGGTAGCACAAGTGTTATTTTTTCCATTTTGTACACATTTTCTATTTTGATGCATGTATAAAACCTTTTGAATGAATAGGTTTGCCTTTTCATATTCTTTAATATGACTTCAATGTGTTAACCTTTTGTGTGTGAAAAGTAAATCCTAAAAGCTCCAATTTACCTGTTCTAGTGTTAGCTGTTTGGAGATGGTGTCATTTTCCAGTTTCTTGATTTTCTTCATTAGTTTGTTAACCTGAAACTCTTGCTCTTGTTCCAGGTGCTGTTCAAGTTCTGCTTTCTCATGCTGCAGCTAAATTAAAAAAAAAAAAAAAATGCAGAGGTCAGTGATCAGGCATGAGACTCTAGTTCTCCGGCAACTCTGTCATTTTACTGCATATTGGCAATATATGCCTATTAAAACATACCATGAGCAAATAAATATTTGACATTTTGTACAGTTGAGTAGGAAATGGCCAGAAGGGCATAATATTGATGCAGCTGGTCAGCTATAAATGTATTTTCATGTTAAGACATTATTTTGAAAAGGATCTTTGATTACCTGCAAACAAAACTAAAATCTCCAATAACGGTCCCAAGGTTTGTCTGTTGGGACTCATGAAGGACCTCCTGCTTCGTTCTCATACAAAGAAACTGCTACATATACTCTACTTTTATGCCAAAAAGATATTAATCACTTGGAAGAGGTTCTTACCACCAACCCTCTGAGTGGAAACAGTTGATTAATACAGCCATACCGTTTATCAGCTTACATTTACAGCTAGGGGGTCTCCAAAAAAAAAAAAAAAAAAATGTAACTGGGTTTCATTACGATAATGGATGCACATTTTAAGTTACACAGGATACAGACTTTGTGAAAGGCTTTATGCTTGAGGTGATTGTAGCCGTATTAGTGCATTTGTGACAGAAACAATTGAGTATTGTCCGTGATACTTTTTTTTATTTGCACTAACATACAATTTTGAGGACAAGCTTTCGGGGAGTGTCCCCTTGTTCAAGGTCCAAGCAGTACTACTCACAAAGTTTTAGCAGAATGTTAGAAGAGATGAAAAAGAAAAAAAAAAGATAAGACACAGCAAAAGCAAAGGAGGGGGGGGGGGGGGGCTTGGGGAGACAACACTCAGAGGGAGTCATGCTTGAGGTGATAGTCATAAAAAAAAAAAAAAAAAAAACTGTTGGATAATGATTGAGGAATCCCATGTCCAAATGGGACACAATGGGAGACCTCAATATGTTAGTTCTTAAAGGAAATTTCAAATCTATTCAGGAAAGAAAAAAAAAAAAAAAAAAAAAAAAACTTTTGAACATATTGAGGTCTCCCATTGTGTCCCATTTGGACATGGGATTCCTCAATCATTATCTAACAGTTTTATGACTATCACCTCAAGCATGACTCCCTCTGAGTGTTGTTTCCCCCCCCCCCCCCCCCTTTGCTTTTGCTGTGTCTCATCTCTAGCCTCTTTTTTTTTTTCCTTTTTCATCTCTTCTAACATTCTGCTAAAACTTTGTGAGTAGTACTGCTTGGACCTTGAAGGGGACACTCCCCGAAAGCTTTTCCTCAAAATTGTATGTTAGTGCAAATAAAAAAAGTATCACGGACAGTACTCAATTGTTTCTGAAAGGCTTTATAAAAGCTTTGTCATCTGATTTGCAAACTGTGCAGGTACAAATACGTGTAAAAAAAAAAAAAAAAAAAAAAAAAAACCTAAAGTCTAGTACACTCGGGCCAAATGTTAAGCAACACTGACTGGTTCAATAGAAACTGGATGACATTGGGCCAGTGTGTACAGCAGCTGTCCAACAGAAGCCGGCCGTTCGGCCAGCTTCTGACGAAGGAGCATAACCGAAAAAGGTCTGCCAATCAGCTTCTGATCAGCGCTTTATGCCAATGGCTGCGAGTGCTGACCGGAGCGTTCTGGCAGGGGGGGCTGTCCATCCTGTAAGAACACAACAGCATAGCAGAGGATAATTGCCGGAACAACATCAGATAGTACAGCAGATCCTCCTGGGCCATCCGGTTTCCCCCCCTTCAGCCCTCTGGGGCTAACAGGTTAGTACTCCCGCCTAGCAGCACTAGGGTCCTTGGTTTGAATCCCAACCATGGCACTATCTGCACTGAGTTTGCATGTTCTCCCTGTGCCTGTGTGGCTTTCCTCCGAGTACTCTGGTTTCCTCTCACACTGCAAAGACATGCTGATAGGTTAATTGGCCCTAGTATATGAATGTGAGTTAGGGACCTTAGATTGTACGCTCCCTGAAGGTTAGGGGCTGATTGTCAATATACAATATAACTGTAAAGCACTGCATAAATTGACGGCACTATATAAGTACCTATAATAAATATAAACAGTATTGCATTGTGGGCAAATAACTTTTCATAACCTAGTCAGGCAAGGCAGCTATCAATCTGAATTACAACGAAAAGTTAATTTGTTAGTCACTGGTCTACTGGTAACACTTCATCAGCCTTAAAGAGAAACTAAACTCCCTATAGCTGATTTTTCCCCATTACGGACGCATCTTTACTTGTTTTGCACTGCATCATTATATGAAGGCACCCAACATGCTAGAGGCAGGGCCTTGATTCCTCCGGTCAGTGAGAGAACAGTGAGCTGCATGTTAGCAACATCACCAGAATTGCACTCCAAATCCCCTGAGATTAGCTGTCAGAGACAGCAGTGACTTAGATTTACACTGCAAAACACAAAAAAGTACCTTTGTTTTTTACAGTACCACTTAGACATAACATACCTAAACGTTCCATAGAACATAGCAAACCTTCACTTTTGGAGTTCAGTTCCATTTTAAGGCTCCTGAAGCAGAAAACATCCAGCATATTACACAGTGCTTTGCATTTAACCTTCCCTATCAGTCCATAGATACACACAGCTGTACCAATCTGCCTGAAAGCCAGCTACCTTAACAGAATGTTTTTGGATTGTGGGGAGAAACTGAAGTACCAGAAGAAAACCCAAAACCGGGGAGAATGCAAAAGCCCCATACAGAGAGTGCACAACACATGCCATACATTTAAGACTGATGTTCCTTTTTTTTTTTTTTTTAAATTGTGCTAGTTGGATCAGTCCATGTGTACAATAAAAGGAATCCGCTGCTAAGCTACACACTGTGGGTTTCTTGTTAATGGAATAGCCAGTGGAGGGGATGTGATGTGGGTGTAATGTTTGAGTCAGGCATGTGCTATAAACAGAGTTATTTGATTATGGATGAAATTACAGTTACGCTGCCTTTCAGCAACAATTGCAAGAATGAGCAGGCAAAAGCAGCAGCAAGTAAACGAACATCAAATAGCAGCTGTAAAAGGTACCCAAAGAGAAGAACAAGAGAGTTTGATTTTATATCCCTGTAACGGCCTCCGATTTGTAACCTAAATAGGCATGTGCAAAGATCAGAGAGTTGGTCTGCCTACATGAAACGATTGTCTGCCTGTTGTCACACAAGGTCATTGCATAGAAAAAGCTGTAGAAATAGTTGGCTACATCTTACAGCTGATCCCCAGTGCAAACAAACTGGTTACTTCACTAAAAGATGCAGCAGCTGGGAGCGCTGTATGCGAATTATGTTGCGTCAGCTACATACAGTATACAGAGTTGTGTTCTGACAGCAAGATACAACCTTTCCATCCCTCTCCTGGAACAAAATCAAGCCAGTCTGAGCACTGCTCAGCCATTCAATGAATATTTGTATTCTATGAATGAATAGAAATCTTCCTCTGATTGGCCGAGATGGAATTCATGGCATCATCAGCCCACCTGTACAAATCATTCACAGAATACAAATCTTCTGATGAATGGCTGAGCAGCGCTCAGCCTGGCTTGATTTTATTCCTGGAGAGAGGATGGAAAGGTTGCATTCTGTTGTTGAAACAAATTGTTGTACACTGCCATGTAGCCGAGGCCATATAACAGTTCATACAGCACTCCCAGCCACTGCATCTCTTAGGTAAACCGTCCAACCCGATTTCACTGCAGGAGCGTGGTGTGAACCTCTCGTCCCACTGCTGGAACACAGCACTGTATACACTGTATACTGTATGCAGCTAAGGCTACAGTGTCCCACTGTAGATTTTTCCCGATTATGTCTCAGGGGAATGAATCTCCAAAACAGGGAGAGAGACACCCTTCAAAAAAAATGTGAGGGATATTTTTCTTAGCTGTCATGGGACAAAAAATTCAAAAAAAAAGTGCTATAACATGAAAAGCCCCTGTGGAAGATTTCTTCTCAAAAAACTTTGAAAGGTATACTGTTTTGGAGGCAATCCCTTCCCAGCTTTATTCTCATTCTGGGAGGACACAATTAATGGAATGAATCTCCAAAAAAAGGGACAGGCTATACACATGTTTATTCCCAGAGGAACCTAACAGAAAACCTTTCACACAAAACCCCACTGGACAAAAGTATTTCCCTTAACTTAAAAAACTTTGGAAAACATAACTGAAAAATAAACCCTCTCACGTTTTGGCTTCCTTTTACTTTGGAAGGAACCTTTTCCCAACACAATTTTAAGATCTTAGTTCAATGGGATTTAGATTGTATATGAAAACAAAAAGCTGCTTTTTGACGTATGTTTGGGGTCATTTCTGCTTCACTAACTGACAACTTAAACCCTCAAAACATTTATTTCACAACTATACAGTAACCCCAAAAAAGGACTTTACTGACAAGTATGGTGACATCAAAATTCAATGATTTACCCACTCTAATTTCAAGATCTTCGTCCTGACTAGCTATCATTTAAACATGAATGCTCCCTGAGCCTGCAGGACAGCTTGAAAGTCTTTTGGATCCACTTTGGTTGCATTTTCATAATTTGCCTATCGACACACCAGGGAGATTAGATAAGTGCAAGCCCAAGACATAAGACTGAGACAATCTGACAAGCGAAAAAAATGTAGCAACAACTAAACTTGTCCTGCACAAAAATACTTTGAAAAGGATATACTGTTTTTTTTGCATACTTCTTTCCCTTCAAATCACAAAGTCATTCAGATTTCAGTACTTCTTGATAATGTTATGTGGACAAAAATAGTTCTCTGGGAGATATATACACACATATATTCTCAGGTCTCAGTTCTCTCTCTCTGTTGTCTGCTGGCCCCCCAATGCAAAGGTTAATAAGTCTCTCCACACATTAAAGAAATTGAAAAAATGCTTGTAACATTCTTTTAAAATCAGAACAGAAAAAATATACAAAATCACATAAGTGTCAAGCAGGAAAAGAATAAAATGTGTATAGCAAAATTGCTGCTACTACGTTTTTAACCACTTGCCTACAGGGCATATTCTCTTCTACCCCTCTTCCCCCCCCCCCCTGCCCATTAAAGGCCAATTTTCAGCTTTCAGCACTGTCTGCACTATTTTGAATGACAATTGTGCAATCATGCAACACTTTACCTATATGAAATTTTTATAATTTATTTTGAGACAGATAGTTTTCTTTTGCTGGTATTTGATCATCTCTAGTTTTTTTTTTTTTTTTTTCCTAAACCAACCAAAAACTAAAAAGTTTGAAAAAGAAAAAAAAAAAAAAAAAAAGTTAGTTTTTGTTTTAAAATTTTGTAAATAAGTGATTTTTCTCCTTCACTGATGTGTGCCAATGAGGCTGCAGAATTGGGCACCGCACGCGCGGTTAGAGTGGGAGGACGTCATATGAAAGCCTCACAGAACGAGAGAACCACCTTGCGCCTGTCATTACCTTATATGGCGGGCGGGAGGCGGTTAAAGTCAGTTCACTAAAAACAGATTATTTCATGTTGATAAATAATGGAGAGTTAATGTACCGGCCAGTCAGCTCATGGAGTTGGGGGGGGGGGGGGGGGATTCTAATGCTCCCTACACCCAAAACTCAAAGTAGGACTAGAACAGAGTTGGAAATTAAAGTATGAAGCCTTTGATGTTTGAGAATAAGTGGAGCCCAAAAAGCCAGTGGTTGATTCAACCTCTGGCTTTTTGGTTTTTAATTCTCAAACACTTTTGGTTTTACTGACCCCTGAAGTGCCAGTTCGCAAAGATTTGGATTGGATGCGATCCGCATCACATGTGAAAAAACATTGCTGCTTATGGTGCCTGTTCACATATGTCCAGTGCACTGGTATTGTGGTTTGAAAAAGAGTCCTGTACGATTTCTGAGCAGTGCGGTCCAGTTCAGGTGTGGATTACAGGCTATTGACTTGAATCGTTTCTAAATATGTGTGAACAGGATAATCCTGAGAGCTAATCTGTCCTGAACCGGATATGAATTGGTGAACTACTAGCTGTGAAACTCGAGCTTCAATCCGCACGGCACGTGTGTTAATCAGCTCTGAAGGCCAAGTTTCACCTTTTTAGAAAAAGGGTAATTGTAAAGCACACAGAAGAACTTATCAAAGCTGGAGCTGCCAAAATTCGGAGTAGCTGTGCATGGCAACCAGTCAGCTTCATTTTCAAAGCTTTACTGAACAAGCTGATTTGTTGCCATGCACAGGTCAATTTTCTATTTATTCCAGTCTTTTTTTTTATTATTATTATTATTTAGTGTCACACGTCTTGGCTGTTTGGGCCCCACCGGGAGCCTGGCAAAAAAACTACCACAGGGGTCGTTATTTTGTTCGGTCTTACTGGCCCCAGCATTACAGGAGCCAGTGGCATTACCCATTAACAATGCATGCACAGTGTGTGCTCTCATTTGACAGCAAAGTCATCAGGGGCGGCAGGCACGTGCACACTGGCTGTTCTACAAATTTGCTGCTGATGTTCCTTATTTCCAATCCATGGCATACTGTATGCTTCATGCATGTTCTCCCAGCCAGAAATGCCCTAAAGAAGCTTGTGCATGTGCCGGCTCTGCTCCCTGGTTGATGTCAGCGATCCAGCCTATGCTTTATAATCAAAGATGACAACACACTGCACATGCGCTGAGATTTGAATGAGGAACGCGGTTCACTCCCACGCAGGACAAAGGATGATGCCTATAGGAGCTTTTCATCCAGGCTTCATGGGGTGTCCAAATGGTCTACAGATATGACATTTAAAACGTTTTCACAAACTAGTGTATTTTAATCCTTGTCTGCACAGACCATTTTCCTGAAAATGTGAAATTAGAAGTTTAAATCCTGCAAAACTAAAAAGAATAAGTAAATCAAAAGAATTACCTTGAGGTAAAACACAGTTTAATAATACAACAAAGAGAATGCATACATAGTTAATATGTGAAAATGATCACAAGGGTACAAACAACACTCTTTGCATAAAGAAGTACAACCAAATTGGAGATATGCACTCTTAGGCTACATTCACACAGGGGATGGGGTGTGAATAATTTCCTGCATTAGAGGGGGTAAAACGTCCTCCCCGGATGACAGCAGTCTTGTAGCGAATTGGCAAGTTTTCACTCAGCCAAAGCACAGCCAGTTTGTGTACAACCAGAACGCTGTACAAACGCAAGCCCTTCATACACACCATTTCCAGGGTCAGTCGGAGGTTCCATTCTCATGCAAACGCACAGACAGAAACCTGACAGCTGGTCACACAGTGCGCAGGCATCATTTAGTAAAGTCACATGGCTACAGTAGCGGCCAGGGGAGGCCACTGGCAAAAAAAAAAAAAAAGAATCACTAGATTCTCCACGGTCGCTGCTGTGGGGCCATGTGAGTTTAGCCTTAGGTCAGCAAAAATATTGGTACCCACAATGAGCTGTAACAAGAATTACATTTTAACGGTCTTGTCTGTATGCTACCAAAATACACGGCATTGCTGCTACCGTGACAACCACCTGCACAAGAATTGGTGCTAATGAAAAGCTACATTTCTATGCTTCGTAATGTTTTGTCTGATTTCTGAATGTTGATCTACACGTTTTCTAGTGTCTAGACGTGAAATGGATGTGTAATATCCAAGTGAGGACATCTTCCTGCATTATGCACAGCTCATAGTATGTTTGCAGCAGTAATGGTGCAGATAAAATAATCACCTGCATGAGTTTCCGTGACAGTTCATTAGTGAGGAATTCCTCTTCTTTCTCATAGTTGACTGCAAGTGTTTCCTTCTCTTTCTGCAAGGCCTGGATCTTCTTAAACAATGTGTTACTGATGAATTCTTCTTCTTGCTCAGCCCTCGCTTGCTGAGAAACGAACAAACATGTTAGAATGAAAACAAAACAAATCACACGAGAAAAGCACAAGGTCTACTGGGAATACATTAGCAGCAAGCAATATATCAACACAAAGTCATTTCTGCACACAGTCTTATCAGCAGCCTTTTATGTGAACTTCCAGGCAGCCATGTTTCTAGGAGAAAAGCAGCTACTACATGGGCAGTAAATCCTTTTATAATCTTATTCATTAAAAACACTCATCCAAAAAACCCAAATTCAGGCTATGGGGTGTATTTACATTTTTAAAAATTGCAGCTGTTTAATCCAGCAATTTATACAAGTAAATTTGTTCTGTGCCAATGGTGCAATTGAATGTTATTAGGCTATCTTTTGCCATTCAAATTTGTAAATGTGGAAAATATCACATTGCAGCCACTAGATGCCGAGAAGCATACTTTATGATAGTGGTGGTAATACTACATTATGGCCACTTGATGGTGCTGACCATCATAGGAAGCAAGTATGCTACTCAGTACCATCCAGTGGCCACAATGTGTCACACATTGAATAACAGAGAATACAGACCAAGAACATTCATTTAATTTTTCCCCATTCGCACAGAATACATTTTCATGCAGTTTAGATAGCTTAGTCTATATTAGTTTTTTTTTGCTTTTAATTTTTTTTATAAAATGAATCCCTATGTGCAAGTATATTAAAGTGGCAGTAAATGCATTTTATTCAGTTGTACTTACAGGTAAGCCTATAAGACTTACTTGTAGGTACAGTGAATATCTCCTAAACATACACCATTTTATGACAGTGGTCACTAAATGGCGGTCTGTGGCCCGAGAAAGACCCAAGCAGCGTTCCCACCCACCCCCAGACTAGAATGACAGATCCGCCACTCAGCAGGCTGGTCAAACCGGCAACTAATGACATCTCCTTTGCAGCTCACTGTCTCTCCTGGCTCCCGCTCCCTGCCTGTCCACAAGCACCCCCCCCCCACCCCCTTCAGCAAGGTTCCCAGCAAGCTCCTGCCTCCCTGCCTGCCCTCAAGGTAGGAAAAATTCTTTCAGGGGCACTCTGATGGCACATTTATATTAAGGGGCACATTTTATGTTAAAGGGTAATTCTGATGGGCATATGTTATGGAAATAGAAAGGAAGGCGCCTCTAAGTGCAGTATGCAGCAGTTTTAGTAAAAGGTTAAAAGCACTTACAAGATAGCAGTCAGATGAAGGATCATCAGTTATAATTCCAGGGAGACACACTGAGCCGACCAGTGGTAGTGAGTGTGGTGGAATGCACGGGCAAGATGGTCGCCGTACTGCCAGGAGAGGCGCGGAACACACACACACTGGACGTGACATTAAGGGGACGGTAACGTGTTTGAGCATGCGCAGACACTCCTTCCTCAGACCGTAAACCCCTGTGATAGGAGCCACTACTTATAGAAAGTAGGGGCTGGAACTGGTATAAATAAAGCGACCAATCAAAATGGGTACATTAAAATGAATGGGTCTCAAAAGTTGTTTTTTATATATTATGCACAACCATTGTATGTATGTTCATATGTACGCAGTCTGTTTATATAAAGTATGGGTACACACACACACTTTTTGTTCTATATTTGTAATGCCAATGCAATCCCCTAGGTGTCGCCACAAAAACTCTTGAGGCCCATTCATTTTAATTGGTCGCTTTGTTAATTATTCCTGTTCCCTCCCCTACTTGCCATAAGTAGTGGCTCCTATCAGGGGGGATTATGATCTAAGGAAGGAGTGTCTGCACATGCTCTGAAACACGTTACCGCCTCCTTGATGTCATGTCCGGCATGTGTCCTACACCTCTCCTGGAAGTACGGCGCCCATCTTGCCCTTACGTTCCACCACACTCACTACCACTGGTCGGCTCAGTGCGTGTCCCTGGCATTATACCTGATGAGGCTTTATCTGACTGCCATCTTGTAAGTGCTTTTAACCTTTACTACTCAATCAACTGCTGCATACTGCACTTCGAAGCGCCTTCATTGCTATTTACTAGAGTCCGCTTTCACTCTTGAAAAGCTGCTCCAGTGCAGTGTGCTCCCATATTATATGGTCTCCCTTCCCTCCACTGGATGCCAAAGATCCTTTTCACCTGGAGGTCATACCATTGCAGAGCGCCCTATGAACATGGTTATACATGTTAAGGGGCACTCAGGCACAACATAAAATGTGCCCATTAGATTGCCCCTTAGCATAAAAATGTGCCCATCAGCATGCCGCTTATTTTATGGTAAGGGGGCACTCTGGCGGGCGACGCCCAAGGTAAGGGGGCACTCTGGCGGGCGACGCCCAAGGTAAGGGGGCACTCTGGCGGGCGACGCCCAAGGTAAGGGGGCACTCTGGCGGTGGCAACTGATTTTTGGGGGAAGTCTGATGGTGGCACCAAATGTAATGAATTACTCTGGAGGGGGAACCTAATGGGATATTTTAGGACCTCGGCCAGAAGATGATTTTAGTGACCAGACCTCCTTGAATTGATTTCTGGAACAGTTACCCAATGTGCTTCCCCAGGAATCACATTGACAGACCTTGTTTAAATCAGCTGGAACAGGTTACAACTGACAAGCAATACAGTAAATATTACAGAAAATCTCCCCAGGCAAGGCAAGAGCTTTATTAAACACAGACTGAAGTCTCTAAGGTGTGGCAGGAGGACTCTGCAACTAGTAACGACACACTAAAACAAACTGGGGGGGAAAAAAAAAAAAAAAAAAAAAAAAAAAAAAAACACAGAACATTTGTCAAGATTGCATAAATAACACATGCATATGGTTACTGGGTAGTGAACGTGTTGTTTTTTTAATGTCTTTTTGTGCTTTAATGTTCTCAAATCCAGAGTAGAAAAAAGTATTCCCAGGGCAAACAAGAGCCTAGGCATGCTTCTATTGCATCTAGTAGCCAGATGAAAGGGGCACTGTGCAAGCAAATGTCCAACCATTAGCTCAGCCAGAAATAAATGTAATTTAGGAACTTTTTCCTGTTGACACGTGCCAGGTATACAGTGCATCCAGAAAGTATTCACAGGGCTTAACTTTCGCCAAATTTTGTTATGTTACAGCCTTACTCCAAAATGGATTAAAATTCATTTTTTTCCTCAACATTCTACAAAACAATACCCCATAATGACAACATGAAAGAAGTTAGTTTTGAAATCTTTGCGATTAAAAATAAAACACGAAAAAAAAACCACATGTACATAAGTACTCACAGCTTTTGCTCAATACCTTGTTGAAACCCCTTTAGCACCAATTACAGCCTCAAGTCATTTTGAGTATGATGCTACAAGCTTGGCACACCTATTTTTGGGCAATTTCTCCCATTCTTCTTTGCAGTACCTCTCAAGCTTCACCAGGTTGGATGGGGAGCATCGGTGCACAGCCATTTTCAGATCTCTCCAGAGATGCTCAATCGGGTTCAAGTCTGGGCTCTGGCTGGGCCACTCCAGGACATTCAGAGTTGGCCAGTAGCCACTCCTTTGTTATGTGGGCTGTGTGCTTAAAGTCGTTCTCCTGTTGAAAGATGAACCTTCACCCCAGTCTAAGGTCCAGAGCTCTCTGGAACAGGTTTTCATCAAGTATGTCTCTGTACATTGCTGCATTCATCTTTCCTTCGATCCTGACTAGTCTCCCAGCCATGGCTTGGTTTGTGCTCTGACATGCACTGTTAACTATGGGACCTTATAGACAGGTTTATGCCTTTCCTAATCATGTCCAATCACCTGAATTTCCCTCAGGTTAACTCCAATCAAGTTGTGGAAACATCTCAAGGATGATCAGTGGGAACAGGATGCACCAGAGCTCAATTTTGAGTGTCATGGCAAAGGCTGTGAATACTTATGTAAATGGGTTTTTTTTAAGAAATTGCAAAGATTTCAAAACAAATCGACTCCAGTGTGTGGATTATCAGTCACTGACCTCTAACCAAAAAGATGCAGTTCAAGTGCAAGACAGGGAAAGCAGAACTCTCACATTATGCAGTACAGCTAAAGTGTGGTATTTGAATGGTGCTGTTTAGATATTCACAATTGCTTTTTCCTTCTTGGCAAATAGAAGTACAGCTTCAAAATAGCCAACTTTCAGAAATAGCTTTACTGCCCATAGAATGTGCAAACAAAATCTTGGCTGAAGTAGGCAAAATGCTTCTGATTCTGCAGCGTCCTGTTCAGCCAGCACTCACTGTAAGGGAGCTCAGATTGGGACCTGGTCTTCATCCATTCCAATTTCAGAATAATTCGATGAGTAGTCCTAATGGACTGGATGTGTCTGACACAGCACTGTGCCAAGGGGAATGATTCATGATAGGGAGGGGGCAAGCGAATGCAAAACCTGGCACTTGGCTATCCACCTTTATTATTTATACAATTCCCTATTTTTAAAAGCATTAATTTGGTAGATCTACAGTCTGATTTCAGTTGATGTATAGGGCTCCTTAACATTATCTGCTTCTGGAACATCACACCATTAATTTCAATGATGTACTGAATTTTCTGTAGGCATGTTCACACACGGAAGTGAGGAAATTTCAAAGACGCTACATAAGATTCCTCCTACATCAATCTCTTATAATTAGCACTAGAAACACTGCCGTTTGAAAGATCTAAAGTCCTGTTCTATGCATTTCTACATTCAGCAAATATTTGTATTTTTTTGTAAATTTCCTGCTAAATACTCATTTTGCAATTACAATTCATGGATAAAATGGCAAGTCTCCACAGAGAAGTGTCTTCATCTATTCCATGGAACGCTCTGGGCTGCTAATCTGCAATTGTGTGCAATCACATGATGCTACAACGCTGGGTTCACAAGTTAGAATTGGGATCAAGTTACAGATGAAGCTGAATAAAACATAAGTGATTACGGTTTAGCAAATGTATCTATAAAAAAAATTGTTGTAGGAAACTATAGCTTTAGTGAGTACACATTTTAAACGGTTTGGATTAGTGTATTTGATGGCTTTTATGTTTTTAGATCATCACTATTCCATGTTT